GCAGAAATTGTTGACATCCTACTCATTGATCCGCATAATCGTGAATACGAAGATGTTCCTGATCACTCGACAGACGAAGGTGTTGAGGACGAGTTTTTACGAAAATGATGATGTTTCAACAGATTACGAGAATGTATCCGAATGAATTATGTATGTTTTATAGGTTTGTTTAATCACAAAAATGAATTTGAATTATGTATGTTTTAAGTTTTTTTAATCACAAAATTAATGTGAATTTGGGGTTATGTGTAGAAGAGGTTTGGAGTTTTGTTGTAGAAGAGGTTATAAGTTAAGGAAGTTGTGGTTTGGGGTTTGGGGTTTTGAGTTTAGGGATTTACAAACCCTTTCCTCGTAAAACCCTAGTAACAGAAAACACGGGCATAGCTGTTTCCTCATAAAGGTTGTTTCCTCGTAAAGTCCTAGTAAAAGTATTACTAGGACTTTACGAGGAAACCTAAACGCGGGCATAGCTGTTTCCTCATAAAATACTCGAAATGGAAAATACGGGACTCGCTATTTCCTCGTAAAATTACGAGGACCTTACGAGGAAACAAAATTCCCTATATAAATTTGAGCCATCCGATTTCTCTCATTTGTAGCAATCTTCTCTCAAAATCCTCTTAAGGTTCTCTCTAATTCCTAGTTAAGTGATTCGATTAGGAATTTAATTTAGGTGGTTAGTTTAGGGAATTTAGGTTAGGTGGTTAGTTTAGGGAATTTAGATCAGGTTAATTTAGTTTTTTAGTTGTTTTTTAAATGATAGTACTAGTATATTAACATTTTAGTTTTTTTTTTTTGAAAATTAGATGACTAGAAAGAGCAAGTTTGATATGACTAAGAGGCCTCTACAGGGGAGTCATTACGGAGATATTTCCGGTCATCAGCCTGGTCCTCACGTAGACGTATCATCTTCTTCAGCTCCTGGTTCTTCGATTTCGGATGACGTTGTTCCCGAGACTCAGAGATCAACACCTCCTCCTCCTCCTCCACCTCTTCCTCCTCCTCCACCGGTCGCCGGGGTTCATCCCGATTTGGAGGTGCCGCCAAACGCTCCATTTGCGGTGTACACGGTCGAGGATATTATGGCAGCTCCAAGCAGAAAAGGGCTGCCTGAGTTAGATCATGTCCGACGGGACGACCATAATATATTATGGTATGTTTCAATTTTTAAAAAGTGTTTTTAATTTATTTCTTAATTAACCAAAAATTAACAAATTAATCTAACTAATGTTTCATTTTGTTTCTTTCCGGGTTTGGTCTTGACGGATGTGTCGCGGATTGTATCAAGGGATACTTTCCCGATCCAGCTCCAAACTAAAAAATAAAGCCCAGCCACACAAAAAAAGATGTGGTTCAAATCGTTCGCTGTTACTCATTAATTAATAAACTTAATTTATTTTTAATAATTACAATTTTTAATATTATTGAACTAATTACTCTAAATTTTTCTGGTTACAGCAAAAATATCGTTGGTCTATAGGGATTCACCAGCGGATGAAGACGGAGTTTGAGGCGAAGGCAAAAGCGTGATTGCTTGACATGGTCTACAACTTGAAGGGCGACTTTCAGTGTGGATTTATAAATTTTACATATATAGTTTTATATCATTGACTTCAAATCATTTTAAAATTCTTTTTTTTTGTTACGGTGGATGGTTACGAGGAGGAGAAACCCGATTGCCTCACATTAGACGTGTGGGATGGCCTCATCAGATATTGGGGGTTGCCGAACTCGGTCAGAACTTCCCACACAAATTCCGAGAACCGCATGACAAAATACGAACATGGCAACACGAAGATGCTTCACAACGGGGGTCAAAAACCTCACGCGGGAATCCGTCTAGACATGATAAATTAAATTTTTATAACTAATTAATTTTTACTCTATTTTTATATTCCTAATTAATATTTAATTTTAAAATTTATTTTTAGGCTAAAGAGACAGGATTTCTTCAATCTCTGAAAGAGCTTTACGAGAGGATCCACCGGAACAAGGCTGGGCATTTTGTAAATCCTAGATCCGAGCGGATCTAAAACGAGGTTGTTGCTCGGGTTGACCAATGCCAGACCCAGCTGACTCAGTTGTCTGGGACACTAGTCATATTTGAAGTGGATAAGATTTACTAGGGGGTAAATAATTTGTTTTCTATTAATTTTTATTATTTATTTAATTTTTTTTTTTAACGTTATTAATCTTTTTATTTACAGGTCGCCCCTAGGAAAAAGGGACGTATTGTCGGGATTGGTTCTGTTAACGATGTTCCCACAGCGACATCGTCTTATGCCCAGGAACAACATGATGTCACTGCTCAGCTGCGCTCGGAGTTGCAGGCGACACAATCTCATGTGAGTTCTCTCTCCGATGTCCTGGACGTTTTGGCGGTTGGAAACCTGCAATTAGCAGAGATGTTGCGTGTGAGACGAGAAAACGGAGGGCTTCCAACCCAACAACATCCATAGTCACAGTCACAGCCGACGACCAACATTGATGAGGAGGAGTTGGCGAGCCGGGACGACTTTGTTCGGCAATTTAACGAGCACCATCCGTAGTTTTTTAATTTTTAATTGTATATTATGAATTTAAAACTTAAATATTTTGTTATTTATAAAATATTTTGTTATTTCTTTTTTATTTATAATTTGGTTTTTTTATTTTTTAAAAATATATTATTTATATTTATTTTAGTTAATATTTTTTTTAATAGGGAAAAAACATTTCGAAGTAAACTCTTCGTAATCCTTTCGAAGTAAAGTCCTCGTAAACTTTACTAGTAAGTTCCTCGTAAAGCATTACTACGAACTTATAAGGAAATGTATTACTATGATTTTACGAGGAAGTATGTATGAGGACGTTACGACGAAATACGTATCCATGCGTTTACAAGGAAAACTTTCCTCGTAAATTAACTAGGAACTTACGAGGAAAAAGATTTTACGAAGAACATGTTTCGAGAAAACGCGTTTCCTCGTAAGTTCCTAGTAAATGGTCATTTACTAGGAAATTATGAGGTAAAGTGGTTCTAGTAAAACTTGGATTTTCTTGTAGTGTTAGAATCACGAGTTTCCAAATCAGAAACACAAGTTTCCATCGTGTTTCCAAAATGAAATTTTCAAGAAACGTGTTTCCAAAGAATTTTCTTGAGTTTCCAAGATATTCCGATTATAAAAATTTCTGAAACAGGAAACGGGTCTTGAATGAAGTTTCCATACAACCTAGTATAGATGTCTGTTAATCCGAGTTTTACGTGACAATGTTTATTCTAAAATTGGTTGTGAAGTTATTCATCAATGTCATAGTGAGTAGTTTATCATTATTTATAATAGAAATAGGAATTGTAGACATGGTATTTTTAATATTTTTTAAGAAATCAATCCCGGTTCGAAATTTCAGAATATTAAGACACAAATAATCAATTACTAGCCCATCACCAAGTTGTTTTGTCTTTTTTCTTTTATCAGAAAAAAGAGCAATGAGTATAAACAATGATCTATGTGTCGCAAACAAGGAAGGACCGACAGCTAGTACAAGTTCTCGGCTCATCTAAACTGATTGGAATTGGAATGCAAAACATGACATGTCTTAAAAAGAGAATGCAAAATGACATATTCAGATTTGAAACATGTTAAGTAAACTAATGAAAAAATGGATTTGAAACAAACTTTAATCAGGTTCGCATTTCTATTTCTTTTAGCTATTAATTTTCCTTAAGAAAGATAATAAGAATAATAAAACCAAAAGGTTGGATCTATGGTAGCGCAGTGGTCTCCTAACACGGAAATAAAAGGAAAAATAACGACCCAGAGGAATATCAACTTTGTTCTAAGTTCATACTTCAAAAAGCAAAGAATAGAACAAAATATGAAATAGTATTTGACGTCCCTAACAAAGAAAAACCTAATGTGGTATGGCTGGACCTTTCAAATGTAGCCAGTCATTCACCAATGGGTCGACCATCGTATGTTAGATGGTACCAATCGATTCACAATGATATACATGTGATGATTATTTAGATAGTTTCGTTAAAATCATTCTAACTATTAAAACTCATTACTCATTGCTATCAAATTTATTTAAACCGTTAAAACGACATTTCAGCATCAAAATCTCAACGCCTAATTAAATCAATGTAAACTAATACAACCATTTATATCAGTTCAACCTCGACCCTTCAACCGACTCTACCATTACAGATCCTTCAACTAACACAACAAACATAATTCACACTATTCACATATAATTTGTTAAATTTTTGCCTTTTTTTTGTATCTATACCTTTTATTTTAGTACTAGAAGATATTGAACCGTAACTTATAGTTTTCCATGTCCGAAACCACAACGTATAGTATTATCAATACTCGATCATGCGATCTATGAACTTTATTTATGATGTTATTCATCTGAACTAACGACACTTGATGATCATTTGAAAACTTTTGCAAATCCTTTATTAAGCTTATAAACGCATATAGTGCATTCAGAATCCAGAAGTATCTAATCAATAAAAGGCAAAAGTAACAAATTTCTTTTTGTGCTTTGTTGTCTCCTTTCTTAGTCTCTTTTAAACAATTTACTTTTTCAATAAACAAATAATAAGGTTAGTTGTTTTTGTAAGAACATATGTAATTCTCCAGTCACGATATTCACAAAACTTGTATTATTAAAAATTTCCATTATTTCGGATTAATTCAAGATTCTATACTGGGTGGTTATCGTTGTCACGCGAATTAAAAATAGTATAGTTTTCTCGAAATTGTTCTACTAAAAAAAGTTATCTTTACGTATCATTAGTAGAAGTTATCGTATGGACCAAAAAGTCATTATTGTTAATTTTGGGGTTTTGTGAAAAAGAAAGGAATGCTTGTTACCTACTCTTATTAACTTCGCTGCCTCTCTCTTTCTCTCTTTCTTCTTTACAACAGTCTCTTCAAGCAAAACTGGGACATAGAAACATAAAAGTCTTCTTAAGGTTTTTTTGTTCTGTTCTTGTTTCTTTCTAGAAAATGCAGAAACACAAATGCAAACTCTGTTCCAAGAGTTTCTGTAATGGCAGAGCACTTGGTGGTCACATGAAGTCACACGTGGCCTCATCACACACTCCAACTCGTAAGAAACTCGGTGACTCCTCTTCTTCTTCCTCCTCAGACGGTAAAACTCTGGTCTACGGGTTGCGAGAGAACCCGAGGAAGAGCAACCGGGCCTTTAACCCGGATCCTGAGTTGTACAACTGCGAGACCGAACCTGAGTCTGTAGACCTGGTTCGGAAACGGGGAAGAGCAGAGGTTTCCAAGAAGAAGAAGAAGAGGAGTAAGAAGAGAGTGTTTGAGTCGGGAAAGAAGCAGAAGACGAGTCATGTTAACTCGAGCGAGTCTCAAGAACCGGCGAGTTCTGTCTCTGACGGTTCTCCGGAACAGGATTTAGCCATGTGGTTGATGATGCTCTCGAGAGATACAAGAGAGGTTGAACTGAAGAAACCGGTTCTTGCAGCGGAAGAGATGAAGCAGGAGAAGATACATTTCCCCGAGCTCCGCCGCTGTGTCATAGATCTGAATCTTCCTCCGCCGCAAGAAAGTGATACTGTCACCGTAGTTTCAGCGATATAGAAACAGTTTGCGGTCTCAGAGATTGATTGGATATCAAAGCATCTTCTTGATTTTGGTTTTCTTCAAGATCGTTTATTCTTTAAATTAGAAAAACGTTTAGCGGTTTGGAATCTTCGGACGATCTTTATCAAGCAATGTACTTTTGATGTAAGACAACAGACAACCCAAGAAACAGAACTTAATTTCTTCTTCCAAGTTATGGATGCTGATAAATAAATTGTTGAATCTTTGTTATGTCGTTTGATATTTTGATTTTGAAATTCTTGCGATGATTCTTCTGCATGAGCTTTGGATCTTGGATCTTTTGATTTATTAATATGTTCTGAAGAAAGTATTTAATTTAGCTGCATATTTTTTATGACACAAGTGTGTGCTAGGTTGCTAACTTTTTTTAAAATAATGTGAATATTATTCTTGTCACGTATATCATTGGGTGTGTTGGAATTACTAGGACAATGTGGTAAATACATAAATCACCCAAGATATCAGATAATGGATATTCAAATATCTCGATATCTAAAGCCTAAACAACTGAGATATTTCATCTTTTGTTTCAGACATAACATAAATTTCTAAAATATAGGTCTACATTCACCTTATGCGTTACTACATTTTATATTTTACTAGTATTTTAACAACAAAATATATTCTCTGTTTTATAATCTCTGCAGCTAGAATGCTGTTTATTGAGATAATTGCTTTTGGAATGTATCACTCCATGAAATTCATTATATATTTTTATCCATTACAGTGATATATGGTGTTGTTTGTAACGCCAGCTGCATCTGTGACTGTAGAGGTAGTGTTTTATACCACCACTGCCGAACCATTTATGTTTTTTTTCTTGACAAAGAAAAGAAACACATACCTTTTTTTTTTTTTTTGTAACTAACACATACCTTTTTTCATGGGATCATTTAGTAACTTCCTTATTTATTATACGAATATCCCTCATACAGCTTTAAAGCACGTTGCTGCATGTTTAAACTTACCTGACTTTGAGATATAAAATAAACATTTATCCACTGACGGATCGACACCATAATAACTGTAAATCTAAAGAAAAATGGAGGGAAAAGAGTTAATTATGTTTGTCTGAGAACAAAGCATGAGCTGAAGAAGGGTACTTTCGTAAGTTCGATTTCGTTGGTGATGTTAAACATAAATGTGGGGCATGTGGCATTACCTTTTGCGCTTTAAGTTTCTTATGGAAAATATGTGGGCCGACCATACAACAAAATATGAACCTAAATTAACAAGTATCATGTTCACTATACACTTTTGTGAAGTTTTATCATATTCACACAATTTAATTTAGAAAAAAATAGTTCGTAGTCATATCGTCTGTACATAGTCCTATATAACTCATCTGCCGAAGACTGATTGCAATGGCATTTGAGAAAACCTTACTGCAAAACGATGGTGAATCTTAACCCTCCGTAACGGAAAAGCTTAGTGGGCATTTTATGGGTCTTATTTGGAAATCCTCAGCTATTGAAGAAGGCTGCTAAATAAAAATATTTGTGACCCATTTTGGCGTGCTCAATCATGTAACTTTCAAGAAACCATAAAGTCACTGAAAATAAGAGTTTATCAAGACTTTCCATTTATGCATTTCTTTTGAAACTCAGTGAACAAAAGCTATAAAATGTGATAGATTTATCTTTGATAGGGTAGAAGATGAAAGAAGATAGATCAACATGTTATCTTAGCTAATCTATATTATATATAGATAGAAACAAACTATCAGATAATCAAAATATCACTGTATTAATCAATACAGTTTGCTCGAACCGAAACTAATTCCGAATTCAACCGACCGCGAAACAAAACAAATTCAATCAAAACCTGAAGATGCAATGTTTAATAAGATTTTTCTGCTAATAAAGAGAAAAAAAACATGCTTTTCAAATTAGAGGTCACGCTCAATAACAAAGGTACACGTTTCTCTTACAGTTTGTCGTTTTCAGATGACAAGTCCGTCCTTGTCTCCTTATTGCCTTCTCTTCCTTGTCCAATAAAGATCCAAAACCCAGAGAAGAACCCCTAGCTGCTAATTAACTTTTAAAAATCTGACAGAAGGAGAACTTCTCTCTCGTCCCTTAGTGATGGTTGTCCCTCTCAGTTCTATCCCTCCATCTCGCGGTAAGATCTTCTCAAAACCACCCTCAGCTCAGATCTCTCAAATTGGTCGCTGGTTGTTTATTCCCTTTTTTTTGGATGGAGCAGATGGGTTTTACGCTATCAACAACCAGTTTCTAGCAAACGGGCCAAAAGGGTTTCAGGAGATGAAGACGTTGGAGAAGGAGGACATGTTTATTCGGATTGACTTTCCGGGCGTTCCAGAAGACGGCGTGAAGGTTGTTGTTGATTCGACCAAGAAAGCTGTGACTGTCTTCGCCCACGCACCAAAGGAGCTCAAACACGACTCTTCTCCTCGGAACTACCTCTACACTACAGGGCTTGTCTGCAAATGCTGCGAGATTTCTGCAGTAGCCGCACACATGTCCGATGGTGTTCTCAGGCTTCTCCTCTCCAAGACTCAAATCGCAACTCAACGCCCACGTAATATCAATTTTTTTCCTTCTTTTTTAATTTAAATTTAGAGAATGTATATGACAAACGGTTTTATTTTCCTGATAATAAAAAAGTTCAAATTGTTTTATATATTTTATACAGCTTTTCTTGGTGACCCAGACTCCGGACAAGGTATTTACTTAATTGGATCTTGATTAAGTCTTTTTCTTTACTAACTAAATACTACTATTGTTTTGTATGTTATCTCTAGTTGTGGTCAAAGATCAGTGTTGGACGGCTTCTCACAAACTTCCCCATGGCACAGATCTACATGGTATTCACATGCTTACGTGGAGTTTGGTTGTTTTAAAGTGAATGTATGTATATATCTAATTATATTAATTTGTTGTTTTGTGTGGAAGAGCAGATCCGGTGCTAACGGGTCGGATATTGCAGCCACACCCATGGGTGAACCAAGGATCTTTGATGGCTTATGAGTCGAAGCAGCTCCAAAACGGGTGCCTATACATTCGTGTAGATATGCCAGGTGTTCCCAAAGAGAGGTTCACGGTCTCCGTTAAGAGTGGGATAGTGATGGTGACTGGTGACGCTCCTGCTGTTAGTCACGACTCAGGTGGCCGTTTCTACTCTGCTGAAGTGGCTATGCTTTCCAATCCTATTGACATTCCTATCCGTCAGATCAAAATAATCAGCAAGAACGGTGTCATCCGTTTAATCATCCCTCCCGCTTGATTTTGATGATACATGTTATTATGTTTTGTGTAGGGACCTCTTTTTTGAGGATGATGTCGTTTATTATGGGACCTTCAGAAAACTTTGGATACGTTCAAGTAAAAAAAGAAAAAAGATAAGATCTTGCTTCAGATCAAATCAAGAAAGTTTAGTCTGGTATTTCAAGTTGATAGGAGTTTAAGCTACCAAAACAGTTGTCTAAACCCAATGTTGAGACAAGTACTTATCATCAACAACCACATTAGTTCCAAGTTCTAAGTTCTAAATTAATTATTACTGGGAATATATGTTTCCACTGAAATTGAAATGCTGCAAACACTTAAAAACTCACCTCCGTGAAAATCTTCAGTAATATCACTAATCAGTACGAATTGACTGTTGTTCACTTTGGTAGTTTCCGTTACCATGTAAATGTAGCTGGGCTTTCAGTACAAAATAATTCTATTTGTTTGCAAGGCCCATTAATTACTAAACTAGGTCTCAAAATTAAAAGAGACTCTTAACCTAACACGCAGGGGTAAATATGTCATGTCTCACGCAGGAAACGTGATCCCGGCATATGCGGTTCTTCTTTAACCCTTTTGGAAGTAATATTACTGTGCACAACTCCCTCGAGCACCCTCACTGATATCAACGGCTGTAAATTATTTTCCCATATCAACTAATATAAACCGTTAGATGTTCTTCGCTGATTTAAAACCATAATGCCACCTAAGCTGAGGAGTTTAGATGTTACTGTGTTCCATCTGTATACAATCTAATTGCCGCAGAACTTTCGTAGGTTTGTTTATTTGTCTATCTTCAATCAACGAAGTGTCGTTTTGATCGAAGAAAAGCTTTCTTCTTTGTAATCGACAGGTTCGATCATAGACCCTTTTTTAACCTCCTACTTGGGTTTAGATTACTAAGGTTAGATTTGATCAATCGATTTAGGAGAGTCTCTACTCTATGTTTGGTAAAGAGATATGATATTTTGTTTTGATGGTTCTGTAGGTGATGGCAAAAAGCACGTTCAAGCAAGAGCATGACCTAGGTTTGATTCCGACTTTTGTTCTTGTTTTGGTGTTTGACTCTCAAAAGCCGTTTGCTTTTGATGTAATGATTGATTATCCTCTTTTCAGAGAAGAGAAGCGCAGAGGCAGCTAGAATTAGAGAGAAGTATCCAGATAGGATTCCGGTGAGAGCTCTCTGTGTTTTTTTTTTATACCTTTGATAATTAGCATATTTGTCTAACATCTAACTAACAGTTGGTTATCAAGTTAGTATGTACCTGATTAGCTTCATGCTTGTGATATATATATATATATATATATATATATATATATATATATATATATATATGTGTATGTTTGGCACTGTATCAACTATTACATGGAGCTGCTTGAATTGTAGTTGTCTATTACAACATCTGCACTTTGATTTGTTTAGTTCTTGGAGACTTGCTGAGTTAATCCGCATAATTCATTGCATATGACACTTCCAGGTGATTGTTGAGAAGGCTGAGAAGAGTGATATACCAACCATCGACAAGAAAAAGTAAGCTTATTAATACCCATCTCATTAACGGACCTGACTTGTGATTAACAATTAAAGAAAGCTTTTCTTTTCTTGGTAGATACCTAGTCCCGGCTGATTTGACAGTGGGGCAATTCGTGTATGTCATCCGTAAAAGAATCAAACTGAGTGCAGAGAAGGCTATCTTTATCTTTGTGGACAATGTTCTTCCTCCAACAGGTTAAACAGATACTGTCATATTTAACACATATACAATGAAACTGATGTTGATAGCTTTGCAGGTGCGTTAATGTCTTCTGTGTACGAAGAGAAAAAGGAGGATGATGGGTTCCTCTATGTCACTTACAGTGGAGAAAACACATTTGGATATTGATCCCTCCATACATCTCTTGCTGGATATTTCATTCTACCTCAATCTCTATTTCGCTGAATACATCATCATCTTATTAGTTATTTCAAGCAAGCAGCATATGTACTTCTCTAAGAAGGTTCGGTTCGGAATTACTGTGTACAGAGAACATGAAATAATGTATATAAACTATGCTCTAATAAAATCTTGTGCTTCTTCAAATAATCCGAAAACATACTTTCAGTGAACCATCATCACAACTTGATTGTGTTTTCAATGGACCACGCTCTCTCTTTCTAACTAACTTCTTATACTTCCAATACTGATCCTGTGTCTTCGTTTTAACTTGTCAAAAGTTTTACCCGAGATCTACATTTAGTTATGAACCATGCGAGACTCATAACATTATACTAAGTATTTAGTCCAAAGACATTCCTAGTAAGGCTTTGACAACTGGAGTTAACATTAGTATGTTCAATAATGTCCTGATAAGAAGATGATTGTCAACTTGTCCTCGTTAACTAGGACTTGGGACACAATAGTGATAGGTTACAAGAGGAAGAATGTGCTTAGTAAATGAACTAAGGAAAAATGAGATATTGACCTCCCTAGAAGACACTCAAATAGACAAAAGGTTTGGCGGATCAAGACACCCACTATACATAGGATAGATACGTGAATAAATGCAGAAATGATTGAGAAAATATATGTGAAATAGATAGACAAGAGAGAAGGCAAAAGAAGAACAAGAGAGGAACAAGAGCATGTTGTGATAGTGAACGACCCCCCTCCCCCTACCTGCATTCAATGCTTGTCTTACTCTCTCTATTCTTTCTTCTGCCTACAAATACTCCTCTCTTCTCTTACACTCAATACATTTCAAACTATAGTTGTCTTGCTTTCATCTCACTATATACAGACAGACGCACATATAGTATCTAAACAAAAAGAGAGTTCATGTCTTGCTCTGTGAGGAATGAGCTCACGATGGTGTTTTGTTTCATTCTTCTGCTTCTGTCATCGAACGTTAGTTGTGCCCAGGGCCAGCCCTAGGGCAAAGCCCATAAAACAGGGGTTTTATGCGAAATATATATATATATCCTCCTATATATTAAGTGATAAGTTATTTTAGTGATTTCTGGTGACGTGTCGCTCATAGGTGAAAGTTTCAAAAAATTGTTCTAATTTGATTGGTCTATTATTCTTGATTTTTATTTATTTAATTTAGATCTAAAAATTTAAAGTTAAGTATAAAATCATTTAACATCACTTGCCATATAATATAAAGAATATTACAAATAACAATTTATGGAAACTAATTATCAAAATTATAGAAAGATTAATAATGTTTTTTTTAAATATTTATAAACTATAAAATATAATGAACGAAATTTTATATAAGATAATTATAATAGTTTTATATTCTACTTGATGAGTGTATTCGAATATAGTTATATAATAAATATTTTAAGTATTGCAAAATCCAAATATGTTTGTTAATATTATTTTTAAATTATTTATCTATATTATTAAAAGAGAAGTACTCATATAAAATATCCCTTAGTTTTCACTTTTATTTACAATAGCATGCCACTGAAGTTATTAATTACCCTACCTTATAGGATTCTTTGTCTTTTCACTTTAATTAATGCATTTCCAAAATCAAATTTTAACTAAAAAAAATTATGGCAACAATAATTAATGAAAATAATTATTTTCATATATACCTTTCGTAATTAAATAAATAAATTCTATACAAATTGTTTTACTAATTCCATATACATAATAATTAATTCCAATATTAAAATATTGATTAAAGATTTTTTTTCTTAGTGTATAAGCAAATAGTTATTTGAAAAACATAGAGAAAGTAACAAAGCATGAAACTTACATTGTAGGTTACGTGTTTTGGATGATATGATCATTTGTAATGTTCACGTCTCTGAATAACATGAATGTGAAGAGAGATTAAGTACATATAGATCCACAAGAGGAAACGTCATAATTGTTGGTCTGCGCATATAAACTAAAATTGTAAATTAAAAACCCAATAGAAAAATACATATGAAAGCATTCTTCTCCTTCTAAGCTCTAATAAACAATCATTAAATAAAAAGATAATACATATGAACATATTTAAAAAAGTAAGAATTAGAATTTAAATAGATCTACGATTAATCAAATCATATAGAAAGATAAAAAAAATTCCTGCTTCGTGGTGAAATCGTTATAATAGGGCATCTGCATATAAACCAAAAGAAAAGCCAGCTCTGATGAAATATGTATATGTAAAAGCTTAATGATGTAAAATAACAAAAACAATATCAACATAAAAAGTTCAGAATAAAAAGTTCAGTGGCTTCGTTTCTCATACTGTGAATGTATTATATATAGTAAATTGATGGATGTTTCTCAATGATTTAGCTTGCATGATAAACTAATTAATAGAATAGTCTCTAATAAATTATTGAGAATATTATATATTCTATACGATTAATCATATGAGAAACTGTATATAGAAACTATATATTAGAAATTGTATATTCAATATTAATAAGGTAAGTTAATAATAACAAACAACCTCATTAGAAACAAATCAATAAATCGCACTAAACAATGTAATCAATATGATATTAAGAGTGAATTGTTTTCCGTATTTGTAATAAGAAAATTTATTAATACATATTTTATTAATTTATATTCTTGCGCAAGTAATATCTAATAAGGAAAATTATTAATACATGTATTAATTATTAGTAAGGTTAGTAAATTATTAGTGATCGACCAATTAATATTCTTGGCTTAATTTCATTATTGTGCAAGTAATGTAGTTTTTAAATAAGGTAAGACATTTAATATGAGTTATTATATTTGATAAATTTAAAAATTAATTAAAATAGATTAAAGAAAGTTACAACTTGTGCAATGTAGGTATTATTAAAATAAGGTAAGTCATTAAAAGAAATTAACAAATTTGGAGTGTTTGGAAACGTCGATAGTTTTGTTATCAAATTACTCTTCGCGCTGAATTAAAAAATAGAAAAAAAATTAAAATAATCAACCAGTAAGATTAAGAGAATTAATCCTAGAAGCCCCATATGAGTGCCACGCGTCGAGAAATCACTAAAGTGACTTCTCTTTTAATGTATAGGGGGAAGTCGCGTTTCTTTTGAACTTGCAATTTAATGTATTTTGAAATTTTCCATCTCTTTGACTCTTCCATGTTATCGCTGATGCAGGTGGTAGCCATCAGAAAGTTGAGACTCATGAAAAGCTATACAGAAGGGTAATTACTAGTTTATTTACCTTAAGCTTAAAATCTTGATGCATCTTACTTTTTTTTGTGGAAAATTCTCCTTTACCTGAGACTGAGTAATAAAAGTAGTTACCGTTCCAGGTGGAGTATTGTTGCTACAAGAAGAGCGATGCATATTCAAGAGGATATTTTTTTTTTTATTCCAAGCGGAGCTGTGTCTATTTTGAGGTTGTCTTCAGATATTTCAGATCTTACAAGTGATCTGGTTATGATTAGCTCAAAGAAGAGGAGTTAAAAGGTTCCACATTCACTTGAATCAGGTTTATGTGTCTATCATGTAAAGAAGACAAGCAAGCTGAGAATAAGAGGTGCACCACGTTCAAGCAATATATGGGTGAAGTGAACATGTTTTTACATGTGGTTTGACGCTTGCTGTTGGTCAGAGGAAAGTTTTGGAAGCAAAAGTTGTTTTGTATTCTGGAAGTGATTCAAGCAAATGGTTGGTTCTTATCTCAGTGCACATGAGTTTGAACTTAAAGGCTAGCATGTGAATCTGGTTTTGCAAGAGGATATGGGTTGTTCAGTCACTGCAACATAGGTTATGGCGTTGTCAAAGCCATGGAATGATATGTGTGATTGGAAGGAAGTTCATGAGCTGAACCATACCAGTTCTAGGTGAAAGCTTATGAGTATACTGTGACAAGTCTAAGACTATAAAGTCATCAAGATGGTTAGTTTGAGTTGAGCTGAAACACAAGCATGTGTATAAAGCTGATTGCAACTCAAGTGGATATGGAAGAGATTGTAGAGAAGAAGTCTCAAGGTTTGAGCCGAATGTTTCAGAGGCTCTGAAGACATCTCAAGCAAGCTATCAAGCTTGTATCTCAGGTTCTGCATTGGAGGCAATGTAGAGGTGTTTAGATGGCACCTGAATCTCAAGTCAAGGTGGAGAATATTGGGTCTTGTGTGTCTTGAATTCAAGTGGACTAAATTGAGAGAACATGTCATCTTTTCCGACCATTTTTCATTTTAACTCATGCAATGTTTCTTTATTTTCTTGTATGATGCACACGTCATTCGTAATAGTTAGAAGGATTATGGAAAATCAGACATCATTCTATGATTTTAAAAAGGTTTACAAACTAATTACTGAATTATGATTATAAATGACTTATACAATGATTATAAAGTAATTTAGAAATGCGTATAAACTAATTTATAAAAACTTATAACTAATTTATAAGGGTTTATAAAATTATTATATAAGGTTTGTAAACTGATTTGTAAAGGTTTATAAACTAATTTAATAAGGTTATTAAGTTAACGTGTAAAAAGCTTATAAAATCTATACTATATAAAAGTTGAGGCTATAAGCCATTGAGAGCGTCCACGTAGGATTTAAGTCCTCCAATCGTATAATGACACATCATTATATTAGTTTATTATTTTTATAAAATGTCATTGTTTCCAAATTATATTAAAAACGAAATTAATATTCCATATATAACTTAGCTAACAAAATAAATATTAACATTTTACA